TCCCCATTGACTGCCCCCTCCAATTGCTCCGAACATCCTCGACAGGGGACGGGTGGGGAATTCTTCTATGTTTTGGGCCTTCTCTGCACCCTTTAAAACCTATTTCAACCTGTTTTAATCTAACTTTTTAACTTAACTTGTTTAATATGCTACACTATTTTAGATTTGTCAGGTTAGTTTTATTGCACACCACCCAAGATCACAGGATATAATTATTTATTTATCATATCAGGAGCAAACCAGTGTCTTTGAGAAAACACAAAGTTTAAAAACTTGGCATTCTATTAAATGTCCTTGCACCAGTACTGCAGGCTGCTTGGAGTGCCTCTGGTGTTGCTAGAAGGAGGTCCTCCATTGTGCATGTTGCATTGTAATAGGTGGTCTATGGTTTGCTCTTCTCCACACTTGCATGTCGTGGACTCCACTTTGAGGCCCCATTTCTTGAGGTTGGCTCTGCATCTCATGGTGCCAGAGCGCAGTCTGTTCAGTGCCTTCCAAGTTGCCCAGTTTTCTGTGTGCCCAGGAGGGAGTTTCTCATTTGATATCAGCCACTGATTGAGGTGCTTGGTTTGAGCCTGCCACTTTTGGACTCTCACTTGCTGTGGTGTTCCTGCAAGTATCTCTGTAGATCTTAGAAAACTATTTCTTGATTTAAGGCGTTGGCGTGCTGGATGATATCCGAACAGGGGATGTGCTGGAGAGGTCATTGCCTTGGTCCTTTCATTATTGGCTGCTACTTCACGGCAGATGTCAGGTGGGGCAATACCGGCTAAACAGTGTAATTTCTCCAGTGGTGTAGAGTGCATAATGTGGCATGTCTCATTAAGAGCCACACCCACTGTTTTAGTATGGTAAGATGTGTTCCACACTGGGCATGAAGTATATAAATAGTTTAATTAATTTGATGACTTGGAGAGGTCTCTTTTATTTAGGTACAAAGGTTTTTCCCAGTTATATACTGGGCCACAGTGGTGCAGCAGGTTAAACCGCTAAGCTGCAGAACTTGCTGACCAGAAAATCGGTGGTTCAGATCCACAGGATAGGGTGAACTCCCATTGTTAGCCCCAGCTTCTGCCAACCTAGCAGTTTGAAAACATGCAAATGTCAGTAGATCAATAGGCACTGCTTCGGTGGGAAGTGGCTCTGTGCAGTCATGCTGGCTACATAACCGCGAAGTTCTTGAGGACTGGGAATCTGAATCAGACAGGATCCAACCTGATGATTATAGAATCCTAGAACCACCCAGTCCAGCCCCATTCTGCCAAGAAGCAGGAAAATCACATTCAAAGAACCCCTGTCAGGTGGCTATCCAGCCTCTGTTTCAAAGCCTCCAAAGAAGAAGTCTCCATCACAGGCCGGGGCAGAGACTTCCACTGCTGAACAGCTCTCAAAGTCAGGAAGTTCTTCCTCATGTTCAGGTGGAATCTCCTTTGCAGTAGTTTGAAGTCATTGCTCCACGTCCTAGTCTCCAGGGCAGCAGAAAAGAAGCCTGCTCTCTCCTCCTTATGACTTCCCCTCACATCTTGATACATGGCCATCATGTCTCCTCTCAGCCTTCTCTTCTGAAGGCTAAACATGCCCAGCTCTTTAAGCTGCTCCTCGTAGGGCTTGTTCTCCAGGCCCTCCTCTGGACACATTCTGGATGATGATGATGATGATGATCATTCACTGTCCACAACTCAAAGGGAGCCTCCATTGTGTCACCCCCAAACTGCAGTTCCTGGCTTGTTGGCGACGTCACACTCTGCAAAGGGGCTGCTCGTTGGTGGTAACACAAAAGCGGCAGTGTGCTTTCAGCCAGGACAAGTGTATGGGCAGACTGGAGACTCGACGACATATACACCCACACACTCTCATTAATAGGATTGTGTTATTTGGGGCCCTCATCTGCATTTTTTAATCATGTAATAGATTTTTCAAAACCCAATCCTCCCTCCAGTATTTGTTCCTCTTAATATTGTATGGTAAGTGTTTTGCATTATTGAACACTATTCTGTTTCTAGTATTCAGAATTAGTGTGCAGTCAGGGTGGCTAAGTGGGGTGTTGATGTGATCTGGGAAGGAAGTCTTTAAAGGTTGGAAACAAGCTCATTCTTTTTTTTCTTTTTCTTTTACACTATTGGTGCGCCACAAATAAATAAATGCATGCTTGCATTGATGGCCAAGTTAATCCCATTTCAGGGCTAATTGCTATTTTGGGCTTACCAAAGATTTCTTAAATACAAAATTAATATATTATAAATGAGCCAACAAGAAAGGAATAGCCACTTATTTATTTATCATATCAGAAGCGAACCAAGGGTACAGTTGTAATGTATTTTAAAAACACAAAGTGTAAAAACTTGGCATTATACTAAATGTTCTTTGACCAGTAGCTGGCCATGGTTCGGAAACTATAGTTGATGCAAAGGTCGGCGGCCAGATTGTTAACTGGAGCAAGTTACATGGAGCGGTTAACCCCACCCCACCCTTGTTTAAACAGCTCCACTGGCTGCCAATAAGTTTCCGGTCCCAATTCAAGGTACAGGTTATCATCTATAAAGCTCTAAATGGCTCAGGACCTGCCTATCTTTGTGACCGTATCTTCTCCTACAAGCCCATATGGTTTCTAAGATCTTCTGGGGAGGCTCTTCTCTCGCTCCCACCTCCGTCTCAGGTACAGTTGGTGGGGACCAGGGAAAGGACATTCTCGGTGGTGGCCCCCCATCTCTGGAACTCCCTCCCCAGGGAGCTCAGTCTAGCACCCTCCCTATCCACATTTCATAAGGAACTAAAGACATGGATGTTCCGTTGTGCATTTGATTGACGATTCCTTTGACAGATGATCCCTAACCATGGCCTAAAATCAAGTACAGTATCTGATTCCTGTGCTTTTAAGTTTAAACGATCTTGTCCTAACTGCTCTATTCCTATGCTGCTATATGTTCTATCCACATTATTGACCAGCCTATTCTCTAACTTGTTGCACACTACCCCCCCCCCCAAATGAGACTAGAAGCATTTCTGGTTGTTGCTTATGATGTTTGTTTTATTACTGTTTATGATGTTGTTTTTATGCTGTTTTAATATTTTATGTGCCTCGTTTTAACTGTATGTTGTTTTGGGCTCGGCTCCATGTAAACCGCCCCAAGTCCCTTCGCGGAGATGGAGGCGGAGTATCAAAATAAAGTTCTCCTTCTCCTCCTCCTTTTCTCCTTCTTCTCCTTCTCCTTCTCCTCCTCCTTCTCCTCCTCCTCCTCCTCCTCCTCCTCCTCCTCCTCCTTCTCCTCCCCTTCCTCCTCCTCGTCTTCCTCCTCCTTCTCCTGTTCTTTAGGATATTCCAAGCACAAACCCATTGAAATAATAATGATATCAACAACATTTTTTAGGTTGGCTCTGCATCTTGTGGTGCCAGAGCGCAGTTTGTTCAGCGCCTTCCAAGTTGCCCAGAATTCTATGTGCCCAGGAGGGAGTCTCTCATTTAGTATCAACCATGGCTTGAGGTTCTAAGTTTTAGCCTGCCACTTTTGGACTCTTGCTTACTGAGGTGTTCCTGGGAGTATCTCTGTAGATCTTAGGAAGCTGTTTCTTGATTTAAGGCGTTGGCATGCTGGTTGATATCTGAACAGGGGATGGGCTGGAGATGTCACTGCCTTGGTCCTTTTTGGCTGCTACTTCCTGGCGGATGTCAGACGGTGCAATACCGGCTAAGCAGTATCATTTCTCCAGCGGTGTTGGGCATGGACACCCTGTGATAATGTGACATGTCTCATTAAGAGCTACACCTACTGTTTTAGTGTGGTGAGATGTGTTCCACACTGGGCATGCATACTCAGCAGAATAGTAGCAAATAGGGCTGGGCAACCACGGAAAAATTTGTTTCTAAACTCGATTCGTTTTTTGGGGGTTTTTGCGTTTCGATATTTAAAAGAATTCCGAAATTTTTCTTTAAAAAAGTTCGATATTCGTAAAATTTCGTAAAATTACGAAACAAATACGAAACGAATACGAAACGATTCGTTAATGGCGGACGCGACCGCGCAATACGCTAAAAAACCTCCAAATGGGACAGGGGGAACTTCTGAAGCTTCCCTCTCCCTCTGTTGTTGACTGTTGGTGTGATATTTATAATTTTTCACTGATTAAACAAACAACAGCTATAAAACTTGCCCCAGACATGCAGAAATAATAACGAAAACGATTTCGAAACGAATACGAAACGAATACGAAGCAATTACGAAACGAATTGAAAAATTCGTTTCGTTTTTTAGATGCTCCTGAATGGTTCGTTATCGCTTCGTAACAAAAAATAACGAATTTTTAACGAATTACGAAATTACGAAACGAAACCGCCCAGCCCTAGTAGCAAAGCACAAAGGCAGATGTCTTCACTGTATCTGGTTGTGATCCCCAGAAGTAACCACTGAACATGACTATATCATGTGCCAGAAAGAAGTCTTTCTTTTACTGATGAGATTTGTCTCAGAGTATAGATAGGGAAGTATGTCCATGAGGTTAAATATGTTCTAAATGTTATATTCAAACGTATTCTTACTTTCTATGGAAATCACCTTTTTTGCAATATTTGTAATAAGTTTGACTACTTTGCTTGGGGAAAAGGGCATTTCGTAATATGTTGCATTGCCTGTATTTATTGGGTTTTCTGTTTTAATGGTTATGGTTTCAACTGTGATTATTTCTCTTCAATTACATTTTTAGCTTTTGCATGAGATGAATGTTAAGCTGTATTTGTTTTAACGTGGGTTGCTGTGAGTTTTTCAGGCTGTATGACCATGTTCTCTGTTTGAATGTGCATAAGCAAACTTGCATCCCAGGACTGGAAAGTAAGCATGAAGATGATCGATAGATAATCGTTCTTTTCCAGAAGATGTGAGGACTACGTTATTGGGGGCTCAAAGATATTTTAATGCATTTCCATCCTAAATATGGTAATCAAGTGTTTCCTCATTAGTGGAGCAAAAAACTGCTTGCGAAGCCTGACATCCGTTCTCCTCTCTCAGTTCCCCAAGGCTCAACTGCGAAGGGTGTTTTTCAAAAACTCCAGCATCCGGGAGAGTCAGCAAAGCACCAGGGAGCAGCGGAGGAAACAGCTCAGGGAAGAAGAGTGTCGGCTTCGGTGTCCAGGCAGAAGCAGAAGCCCTTTGGGACCATACGAAGAAGGAAGCTGTCAGGCCTCGGAGAGGTAAGCCATGCTTCTCACCTGCCCTGGTTCCCCTGCGACCCCCTTTCAGTCCCCCTTATTCCCCTCCCCCTCCAAGACTCCTTCCATGTTGACCTCTCCTCTCACCAAGACTCTTACGTCTTGGTGCGGCTCACTATGGTTGGTGGGTGAAACCCCTGCTTTGTATACTATGGGGCATGCCCAGCTCTGCATGGAAAGGGAGTGCTGGCAATTGCATCGGGAAATTTGGGGTCTCTCCAGAAAGTAGTGGGATTGACGGCTGCGTTCCTCTTTCATAGTTGGTATTAGGATTGGTTAGGACTAATATCAGCCATACTGTATCCCCTGTGTGAGACACAAGCTTTAATTATTTATTTATTTAAAACATTTATATTCTGCCCTTCTCATCCCTCAGAGGACTCAGGGCGGAGCACAACATATATATGGCAAACATTCAATGCCAAGACATAAAACCATAAATATATATAAAAAAACATTAAAATCACCTATATCCACATCAAAAGTTCTTAAAAACCATCTCAGGACACCATTTTGCCTCATTGCACTGCCCCAAAGGCTTCGTCCCACAGCCAGGTCTTCACCATCCTTCTGAAGGACAGGAGGGAGAGGGCTGAACTAATATTGCCAGGAAGGGAGTTCCATAACCAGGGGGCAATCACTGGGAAGGTCCTGTCTCTCGTCCCCGTCAAACGTGCCTGTGATAGTGACGGGACTGAGAGCAGGGCCTCCCCAGAAGATCTTAATTTCCGCAGTGGTTCGTAAGGGAGATGCGTTCGCAAAAGCTCAGAAACTGAGCAGGAAGGCAAACGGAACACTCCAAAGGATCCACTAGGACTCAGTACTGCTTTCAGCCCAACCTACTCACAGCACAGGACAAGATAGTTCACAGGAACTGCTTTTCTTGAAGGCTTTTGAAGTCCGACTCCCATTTGATGTACACTTTAGTAGCCAGTTTTTCTTTTAAAGCAGACTTCACAGGTAACAGAAGGGACTGTGATTCAGATTGTTTTTGCAGAAATGTGCCTTGAACATCTGGTCCCAGATCGTCACCTGGCAGTTACACAAAAATGGGCCTTTTCCATGGTAGCCCCCCACATTTTGGAATGCCCATATCCCTGATATCTAGGCCGAGCCAACTGTGGTGTGCCTTAAGATCCATCTCTTCAACTAGGCATTTCCAAAGTGATTCCTGCCCAGTCTGAAAATTGTAATATGAGTCTCTGGTTCTGAATGTTTTAATTGATGGTCAAATGTTTTGGAACGGAAAAAGTTTTATTCCCCTCCCTCTCTCCCACCCAAACCATTTATTGTTCAGCATTTGAGATATACTTTGATAGGGGAAGTATTGTGGGCATCAAATTTTGAAATAATAATAAACATTTGCATTTCAAGAGAAAGCCCTGTTGCTGCCAGTAGAGTTGCCCTTTGGCACGCAAACATCAGTTTAGCAGATATGTGCTTTGTTGGAACTCTGGGAGCGAGTAAATAACAGCATCTCCCCACCTCGTCCTAGGGCTCTTCAGGCTTCCTGAACCATTTGTGAAACAAAAATTGCTTCTCTGCAATTAACATCACATCTATTTTGACCCTCAGTTTGCAGAGCAAGAGGGCATGCTAATAATCTCTTAGCACAGATTACTTACGCCTCAACAGTTAAAGGATTCTCAATCATTGGGTTGCATCCAGTGACTTTCATCAGCAGAGTGGAATCAGTGTGTGGAAAGAACTCTCCTCCCTTGTAAAGCGAGGACTTCCCATAAATCTGCTTCAGAAAGTCTTCACAGCATTTTTAGGGCAGGAGAGGTAGTGGAAGAAGTCAGGACTCCTCCACCTCAATTTCTTGATTTTGAGGCAAGTATGCATGTCCAGGGTGGAACACATCTCATCACACTAAAACAATAGATGTGGCTCTTAATGAGACATGCCGCATTATCACGGGGTGTCTGCGCCCTACACCACTGGAGAAATTACACTGCTTAGCCGGTATTGCACCACCTGACATCCGCCGGGAAGTAGCAGCCAATAGTGAAAGGACCAAGGCAGAGACATCTCCAGCTCATCCCTTGGTATCAGCCAGCACGTCAACGACTTAAATCTAGAAATAGTTTTCTAAGATCTACAGAGACACTTGCTGGAACACCTCAGCAAGCGAGAGTCAAAAGTGGCAGGCTCAAACCCAGAACCTCAACCAATGGCTGATACCAAATGAGAGACTCCCCCCTGGGCACACAGAAGGCTGGGCGACTTGAAAGGCGCTGAACAGACTGCCTCTGGCACCACAAGATGCAGAGCCAACCTCAAGAAATGGGGCTACAAAGTGGAATCCACGACATGCGAGTGTGGAGAAGAGCAACCACTGACCACCTGCTGCAATGCAACCTGAGCCCTGCCACATGCACAATGGAGGACCTTCTTGCAGCAACACCAGAGCACTCCAAGTGGCCAGATACTGGTCAAAGGACATTTAATCAACTACCAAACTCGCAAATTTTGTATTTTGTCTGTTTGTTTTTTGTTCTGTTAGAAATGTAATACAATTGACTGGTTGCCCTGCCATGACAAATAAATAAATTTTGAGGCATCTGTAGATCTTGGTTTTTCTAAAACTATCTGAATCTAAAAATTCCCAAGAGCCCACCAACTTGGTAAGCAGAGCTTCCCAATGCTAGGATAATGGCATTCTTCCAACACGCAAGCAGAACATTAACATTCTTTCTGACTTTCAAGGCAGACTATCACAGGGTCTTGTAGCTCAGATTTGTTTAGACGAGATTGCCATGAGCTTCTCAGGCAGGGAGTATGTCTTGCCCACATCGTACAGTGGCTTCCATGGCTGAGTGACGATTTCAGCCCCGTTCTCCTAGAATCCAACACTCAGACCATCATGACCAGGCCAGGAAGGAAGGAGAAAGACCCATTGTTCAACCAAAGCATTGTGCATGCAACATTGGAGGCAGTCTGTTCTTATCCACAATTCCAGCAGGTGGTTGGTTGGACACTGAAGGTCCACCAATGAATCATCAGTTCGTTTTTGCTGCTGCATCTTGTACAGGTGAAAAAGAACACACAATGCACAGTGGTAATGAGATGGTTGTGAACCAGCATAGTGTAGTATTATGAATGTTGGACTAGAACTCCAGGAGATCAGGATCCAAATCCCTGCTCAACCATAGAAACCATCTCGGTCAAGCCGCACAGTAGCAAACCCTCTCTGAGCAAATCTTGCCAAGACATCCCTAAGTTGCCATCACCTTCATGAGGCCATAAGACTTGAAGGCACACATCAACAATACATTGCACTTTAGAAAGTAGCTGAGAGGATGAAGTTGATAGCATAAGCTTTCATAGACTGATTTTGCATCCTCGGGTGCAAATAGACTTGGGCTCCTTCCACATAGCTGAATAAAATCCCATATTTTCTGCTTTGAACTGAAATACATGGCAGTGTGGACTCAGATAACCCAGTTCAAAGCAGATAATGTGGGATTTTCTGCCTTGATATTCTGGGTTATATTTATTTATTTATTTATTTAATATTTGGGGCATTTATAGCCCGTCCTATTGCACCTCCGCAGAGGGACTCAAGGTAGCTAACCACCAGCACAGCACAGTGCCCACAATAAGAAAATCACAAATATACATAATATAATAAAAACAGTATAAAAACAATATTAAAATGTTAAAACACATCGCCGAATTCAGTCATCATCCTAAAAGCAGTCCATCATAGTCCATTAAAACCGTAGCTTTGCCAGCAAGTCAGTCTAGTCCACAAAGCCAGAGCCAGGATTTCACTCTTTTTTTTTTTTGGAAGGACAGGAGAAATGGAGCAGATCTGATTTCATTTGGGAGGGAATTCCATAGCCGAAGAGCCACCACGGAGAAGGCCCTATCTCTCATCCCCACCAAGCGCAATTGCGATGGTGGGGGGCGTGACAGCAGCCCCCTCCCAATGATCTTAAGGTCCTAGATGGCTCGTAGCAGGAGATATGTTCAGACAGGTAAACGGGCCCTGAACCATAAGGGGCCTGAACTTTGAATTGTGCTTGGAAGCTGATAGGCAGCCAGTAAAGCTATATTTATTTCAGGTATTTTTACCCCGTCCTTTTCAACTCCCTGGGGGGACTCAGGGCGCCTTCCAGCCGGCACATATTTGATGCCTAAAAGTAAACACAATAAAATACATATCAAAAACAATAATTATGAATAGTTAAAACATTAAGTTAATACAATAAAATCTACTTAAAAAGGAACACCAGTCTGGTGGTTCTGTTTACTCCATTAAACTTGACCGTAATCTGTTTCCATAGCAATTGTCTTCATTGTCACAGTCAAAGTCTGCATAGATTACTCGAAGGCCTGGTCCCACATCCACGTTTTTAATTTCCTTCTAAAGGAGAGGAGGGATGAAGATGACCTAATTTCTCTGGGGAGTGAATTCCACAGGTGGGGGGCCACTACCGAGAAGGCCCTGTCCCTCGTCCCCGCCAACCGCATTTGTGACAAGGGTGGGGTCAAGAGCGGGCCTTTCCAGAAGATCTTAAACTCCTAGGTGGGACGTAGAAGGGGATATGTTTGGACAGGTACGCTGGGATGAAACCGTATATATATGGCTGTGTGGAAGGGCCCTTGGTCTTTGACGGATCCTGCTACCAGCTTCGTTCCCTTCAGTTATAGAATCATACAATCATAGAATCAAAGAGCTGGAAGAGACCTCATGGGCCATCCAGTCCAACCCCATTCTGCCAAGAAGCAGGAATATTGCATTCAAATCACCCCTGACAGATGGCCATCTAGCCTCAGTTTAAAAGTTATTATTATTATTATTATTTATTATTATTAACTTTATTTGTACCCCGCTAGCATCTCCCGATGCGGCTTACAAAGGCCAAGGCCTCAACAAACAATAGCATAACAAATACAATACAAAGCAAATCAAAACATTAAAGCAATAACAGTAAAACAACATAACACAATAAAATAAAAACAGGGCTGGGCCA